GGACCTACGACAGACCTACCAACTGTCTGCAAATACACAGGTCACAGGTTCAATTCTCGGGCTCTATACAGATACTGTACATAGGTAGGGTGAGGTCTAGGGATCAAGCCCTGGGTACTGCATCCGCTACTGCTAAAAGGTGAAAACCGTTTCACTAGCACACACCCCTTCACCAGTCGTATCAGGGACAGTGGGGCTCGACCCTTAGTATGTTTCTCTGTTGCGATGCTTGTATTCAGAAGAGAAGCCATGCTGCTCTTGAACTGGCCGCATGAGCGCTGCAACGTGCTGGGATGAACGGCTTTGGTGGGCTGGCACAAATTCATTCGCAAGGAAACTTCGCAACCCTGTCGCAATGGCTGCGGCTACTTCTGGAAGTACTGGTGGTTCGGTCATTTTATATTGCACACAGTGGGGCTTGGCCCTTCTATTTGCAAAGAAGCAATGCTGCTCTTGATCCTTTTCATTGGTGATTGATGGGTGAGATAGACATTATCCTTTTAGATGGCTGATTGCTTGCAAATACCTTGATGAGTGGCTTGGATCCCTAAAGGGCACTGGGCCATTGTGAACGAGAGCTCCCTCCACTGAACCACCACTACGTCCCAGAACAACCATTTTTTTGAAATGGACATTTTATATCTTTTTGGAACCAAATTGAAACAGTCTTATTTGGTTCAAAAAATGTCAAATTTTAGCTCCTGAGGGTTAAAAAAAAAAAAAAAAAAGGGTCCGGCGTTCTGAAAATGCCACTGGACACCCTGGATGTATCCGGACTCCGCTGTTGGAGTCCAGATCCGTCCGGGGGGTCCAGCGGCATTTTTAGAACGCCGGACCCTCAAGAGCTAACATTTGACAATTTCTGGTCCAAAAACGGTTTCAATTTCATTCAAAAAATATAGGGAAAATTTGTCTGGCGCCCCTGTATTTTGCGATAATTCGCGTCGCGCCCCTCCGACGGCCGGTTTACCCTGTCGCGCCCCTGGGCCAAAACATATTTTCGGCAGGCCCTTGTCGGTAGTGACCGCAACTTTCCAGGACGCCCTCCTTGGACTGGCAGTCTCATTTCCGTCGGGCCCTGTGCCATATGCCCTCGTGAGGGTTTGCCGTCTTTCTGCAATGCCCCCGCAGCCGTGAGGGGCCAGAAATTCGAATTCTATTTGTGATGCCTACCCTCTTTGACGCGGCCATTTGAAACTGCATCCTTCTTGACGCGGCCACTATGTTGTTGTTGACATGCCGCGGCCCAGAAGCTGCTGGATTCCACTTACCTTCTTCGTTCTCCCAGTAGTCCATCCCCTCGTTCTTCGTATCTTCCGCTTCCCCGCGAGTGCGTGTGTGTGTGTGTGTGTGTGTGAGAGAGAGAGAGAGAGAGAGAGAGAGAGAAAGGGTGAGTTTGTG